AGTGTCATGTTGTCAACACCGACTACTCATGGTGTCATGCTGCCCTGTGTCATGCTGCCATCACCACTACACAGCCACGGCGGCCCAGGACCACTTGAAGAAGGAGGCAGCTGGCTCGGCTTTCGGCGGGGGCACCTGCGCAGTGCATGGGCCCAACGAGGCGATTAAGGCCCTGGACATGCAATCTGTTCAGAAAGCCTACGAGGCTGACCTGCTCAAGCTGGCGGAGGACTGCTCGCGATTCTCAGAGTACTTGGCGAAAATTACAACGAGCAAGCGACAGCTTGCAATTGCAAGGGTCCTCAAGCTGAAGTCCGAAAACCGACGCGGGGCCACGCTTGTTGTTGATTGGATGCAACGGAACGCCAAGTTTGCCGCAAACGATTATGTGGAAGAGCACATGAACATAATCGAGGCTGTTTCTGATTCACTGCTTAACTTCAACGGGTGTTGGATGTTGTCTGTGTGCAATGCTACAACAACGACCCAAAACCACAAACCCTAAACTCCCCAAACTTTCCTTCCCTGCAGTGGCTGGGCGGTGTGTCGCCAACGGCAATCTTGGTTTGGGCTGATCTGACCAAAAGTGGCACCTTGCAAGCTGACTTTCTGGATGACATCACCGAGGAAATTAGACGGTTGTGTTCGGCGTTCCCCAACAAGGCGGCAGGCTTCATCATAGCCCCAACGATGGTTTCTTCGAAGGTCGTTGCTGGCAAGAGAGGGGAGCTGAGGCAGCTCCATGTTTCCAGACTTGCTTGTTTTTTTGTGCATCATGACATTATATTCAAGAGCCTGCCTTCAGGCGTGTGGAGGACAAGTTGGACAACCGGAGCCTCACCAGTGTCCGGGTGAACATCAGAATGGAGCCGGGCCACGGCAATAGACGGCTTCCTTTGATTTTTCCTGCCTATGTGGCTGTGAATGATGCCTCCACCTCGAACATCTTCGGGTCTTCCAAAATGTTGGTCACCGAGCCATTTGTCTCAAACAAATAATTTCGGAAAGCGCATTCAGAAGAGATTCAGCTGAACCCCAGGTGCACCAAGAATGAGATCGTTTGGTTGCCCACCCGCGAGTACCGTGTGCCACGTGCCAAAAACATGGCCCCGTGCACAACCGAGGCAGCAGACAGGACAGTCAGTGACACAAACCCGCAAGCGAAACGAGCCTATCATCCCAAACCGAAGGAGCTTGTCTGAGATGCAGATGAATGCGCAGTGCCTCGGCGGCGTGCCAGTCCCCTCAGAAGTCTTCAGCAGCCTCCTTGAGGAGCAGATGGCCGTGGGCTATTTCTATGTTCGGGCTTTTGTTTGTCGATCCGATGTTTGTGCATTGGCTGGTTTTGATTTGATCGGGCGACCGTTTGGGGTTACGGGTTTGGAACATTTATTGATTAAAGGTTTTAGGATCCGGGATGTTTGGGGGGTAAGTGCTTATGGAGCATAATGGCAGGCTTTTGGGATAGATTCGACCCGATGAAGAGCGACCGCTTGATTTAGGATCTGGGATGTTTTGGGGTTTAGGGTTCAGGGCTTATGGAGCCTTGATTGGCTGGTCAGATTCAGATTCGGCCTGATAAAGAGGGACCACTTGGGATTTCGGTTTCGGGTCTAGAATATTTATTGACTCAAGGTTTTAGGATCTCGGATGTTTGGGGTCTATACAATTAACTTAGGCTTAGGGATTCAGATCAAGTCCTACCACAGCCCACGATATCGCAGGACATGCCGGGCGTGGATGCGAAAGCAACGGTGTGTGTGGTGAACCTCACACCGTACGATGCCTGCCTCGAGAAAGCCTGCATCGGCAGCAAGGATCAGGGCGGGCCCAGGACTGACCCAAGCAATTACCCCTAAACCCTAGACTTCGATTGCTAAATGATATCTGTCCTGCCTCAGCAGGATTCTGTCCTACAGCTGTGGCCCCAATGTTATGGAAGTCCAGTATGCACAGCGGCTGCTGGCGCAAAAGCTTGTGGAGGCCTGTGGTGTAGCTCAATCATTCAATAAGGTTCCTAAACCGTACGCCGTGATGAACCCCACGAATATATATATATATATATAT